ATCTCGTTCCTGAGATCTCCCCTTTACGCACTTTGGTGACGGGACGAAACGGCGGCCGAAGAGGCCCCCTCACCGTGCTCAACCCTAGAGGAGAGTCTATCATGAATGGATCCTTTGCTCACCTATCCGGTTTACCACCGGAATCCTGGAAGTTGCCCTGGATCGGTGGGAGCGCTGAGACTGGGCGGGTAGAGAATTCCTCATGCGTAGGAGAGAGTTCTCTTCTCCTTGTGGAGCCACAGATGGAGCCCGGCGAGGGGAAGGAAGTCCCCCGTTAGTATTCAGAATGATACCTTGGAATGCAGTTGTCAAAGTCTCCACCGCCCTCTGGAACGTGGCCAAACTTGCCAAAGCCTGTGTGGGATCCATGGTGGGGATGTTATGCCCAGTGCCCGGTGTCTGGAGCTGCGATGGACGCACCACCGGGTCCCTAGGATTCCCCCCACCACGGATCTGGTTCCTCAAATCGCCTGGTGCGGCAGCGTTGTCGTTGCGCCTCCTAAAATCGCTCCTTCGGGACCTTGACCCTTCATCTTCAATCGTAATATGATTGAAGCGATTTCCGCCTTGATTGCTACCAACGCGATTATTGCTATTCGACACAACCATCGTTGCTTCGTATATTCGGCTCTCAACGAGAGCACCAAATGATGGAGTTAAATCCAACTACGAGAGCTAATATACGTAAAATATGAGAATAATATGGCAGCGTAAGGCAGTTTACTCTTTATTTCGGAGAACTAGCAATAGTCTAGCCTCGGTTTTGAATCTTATCGGGGGTCCGATCCCTTGGTAGGGAGTTTACATCAAGTATTTATAGAGATTAGGAAGTAGAATTATGGGAGGAATCTAATGCAATAAATGCTCAATTAATGAACTATATTTTTGCTCGAAATAGAACTCATCGATGCTTGACTCCCACACGATTGCTTTCCCGTTTTAGTCGTCGCCCTCCGGATGAGTTCTGCCTATTGCCAAATATATATCAACGAGTGATAGCTTGCCACGTAAGCCCTAGGAATACCCTGGCCTCACTAGATCTCTGCCCAGGCTCAAGGTCTGTTGTCCAGCCCGGCCTGGTGGTGGGTTCCTATCGTGGGCCTAATTCCTAATGGGCTAAGCGGCTATTAACCATGAATCCCGTTTGTGGGCTAATCCTTTACTTAGGCTGGTACCGTTGAGGGCCGATCCCGTTTATGGGCTAATCCTGTAATTAGGTTGGTCCCGTTGAGGGCCGATCCCGTTTATGGGCTAATCATGTAATTAGGCTGGTCCCGTTGAGGGCCGATCCCGTTTATGGACTAATCCTATAATTAGGCTAGTCCCGTTGAGGGCCGATCCCGTTTATGGGCTAGACTACGTAATTAGGTCATGGTCTTAATGCATGATACCATCAGAGCGAGTCAAGTGTGTACACAACTACACACCTTATGTACAAATAGATTTTTTTTTTCGGAAAATACCTCTATATTACTCCTTGAGAGTTGAGATCGGAAGCTGAGACTACTTTTTAGTGAATTAGTTAGATTTAAGGGTAAATTACTTTTGTATTGATTTTTCAAATGTTCATTCTATTAAAAATATAATGCAAATTAAATATAATGCAAATTATATATGGGGACAAAAGTACTTTTCTGTCTATTTTTTCTATTTTAGTAAGATATTCCTATAAAAGTACCGTCATATGCTCACTTTTATGATCCTAACTCGTTTTACTTTTGCAAATTACTTTCTCAGTTCTACTTTTATATATATATTAATTTCCTTCTCTACATCACATTTAATTACATTTTAATGCATGCATTCAGTTTCTTACATTTATTTGCAATACTTTCCTCTTCCACAGTTCCACACACTCAAGTACTTTCCTAAACACATTACTACTTTTCCCACCTTTTCATTTAAACCAATTAAACACATACTCATGCTACACTAATATGACACCTAACAAAGAAGGAAGAAGCATATATATTATATATACGCATAAGCTCATATTGTTAGGTGAAATTAGACTTTGCACCCTAATTTTCAGAGTAATTATTGTGTTCGTCCCACTGATTCCTAAACTATGGGATGCAAGTGAATTTTTACGTGTAAAATTGTAAATTAAGTTAGTAATATAAAATATAATGATATGAAGTAATGAGAATCTTGAACAAATGAAAGATGAAATAAGATTAGTGACAAGTTCAATTTGTCTCATGTTTAAGATCATCTTCACGCGAGAGGTTTTGAGTTTAAGTCATCAAAACGATGAATTCGAGATGATTTTGTCATAAAATTTCCTTTAGTCAACCAAGACTAGCTCAAGTGGCCGTATAATTAGTTATTTGTCTCGCACTCTCGCCCAAAGCGTCATTTCAGGGGACCTCGACGTCATTTGAAGACGCGACAATCAATCCGTAAAATGCGACTTTTTGTGTGCAAATTGAGATGGTCAGATAATGTATGTATAAATGATGGTGGGAACCTAACTAATGGTTTGACTGTTCTCAACTACTCATATTTTTATTTTTTAAAATCAAAATAATACAATGTGCTATGTTTCTAAGACACGTTTTCATGATTGGTCGTTCGTAAAGTCATAATATGAATCATTAGGGAGCAAAGATAAGTCATATGGGTAGTGGTGGTCCACTTTTAAAATCATTGCGCAATATTATTAGTTGCCTTTGAAATTGTCTCTATCTTTTGGTATGTTGTCTGAGGTTGTCCGAGTATATAGTCTCGACTCAACTAATATATCACGGGAGAATTTAGGATGTTTTTACTTGGACTGTAATTTGCCCCAGACCAGACCAGACCAGTTCAGACCAGACCAGACCAGACCAGACTTGGATAGTTATAAAAATATAAAGAAGCCAGACCTTACCAGACTAGACCAGAACAGTTCAGACCAGACCAGACCAGATCAGACCAGACCAGACCAGCAAATTACAGTCCAAGTAAAAACATCCTAAATGTCGCATTGTGTCTGCCGTCATTTTTATTACCGTAACGTATATATTTGTGATCATTTCCACTACTTTTGAGTTTTGACGGAGACTTAATGAGACTTTTGAAAAGTGGTAAGGTTAGTTCAATAGTACTCCCTCCGTCCTACTATGATTGTCTCATTTTATCTTTTCGGTCCGTCCCACTAAGATTGTCTCATACCTTATTTGGCAAAATTTGTGTGATTCTAAAGCATTCTTACTTTATTCTTACTTTATCAATTTAAAATCAACCACATAAACCAACTTTATTAATAACTGTGCCACTTTCTCTTCTCCCAAACTTAGGGGGACGGAGGTAGTAGTAGATCTTGTACTGAATCAGAGGTTCATTCCAGCACATAAGAGTTGTAACCTCCACACGATCGCTGCAGTTTTCGATCGTTGGTTAATATTTCAACCTTTTCACCACTTAGCTAACTGAACTATCTGTGCAAATTTCTCTTTGTTTTTTCTATTTCTCATTATCAAGAGAATTAAGATGAATTGTATATGAGTAGTTCTTAGCATAAAATCTTGTCATTTTTCAAATGAATTGTCTCTGTACGCACGTAATTAAACGATTGTGTACAAGTTGCATAGAAGAATTTTTCATTGTTTATTTTATGGGATTATAAGTAACTTGGTACGGAGCATTAAATTTTTTGTTTTAAACATTAGCTACTCCGTATTACGGAGTACAAAACCATCTTTTATACCAATCATACGAGCATTACTTTGACCAACTGTTGTACTTTGAACATTTAATTTGAGACAGTCAATTTTTCTTTTAGCATCATAAAAATGAAAGACTTTCGATCTTAATATGTGTACGGAGTATTAATCACGGAGTACACGAGTATCGATCGTTTACTTTAGTCACGGGTTTTGAAGATTTTTTAAGTACCATAATAACTAAATTTATCATAAACACGTCCCTAAACAGGAGTAAAACATAGAGTGTATTAATACTTTCTTAGAGCGTCTCCATTCATGATCTCTAATAATCAATTTTTTCTATGATTCTTACCATTTAAATATTGTTATGCAATTAATTTTAAAATAATCTCAAAATTCGTTTACGTCTCTCAATCATCATCTTCAAATAATCTGCTTTTCCTCTGTCCCGCATTAATCTCTATTACATATACTTTTCAAATAATCTTAAAATAATCTGGATTCATATTTTGATCTCGGATTATTGTAGCAAATAATCCCATTAAATAATCTATGTCACTCAATGATAATTTTCTAAAAATCCTGCCATGTCACCAACTTAATCTCCTAATAATCCTACCAATGAGGATGCCCTTAGAATAATACTCATTCACGCCTATTTTTAAAAGTTTGTACTGTTTTAATCTTTTAATAAGATTTAATAAGCCATGTTTTGAAAAAAAGAAATTGCCCAAAATGGGACTAAAACATGGAGTAAATTCCTAAATTAAATTTTAAGTTTTTACCTTTTACCCAAATAGGATAGAACATTACATTTTTACCTTTTACCTAATTAAACCTCCATAGCTCATCCAATGGCATGCACCTTATTCTCAAGATACTTTGCATCATATCAATCTATTTTCACATTAAATTTGTAATTATAACTTCCAGCTTTTATAGTGTTAATTATTCTTCATTATTCACTTTTTTAAATCGAAAACTACTCTCACATTCAAATAAATCCAATCAAATTCTTTACTGTATTGCTTTAGACCCGGTCAGGTAGGGATTTATTTGAAGACAGAAAATAACACAAGTGTGAATGGTGAGTGATATACGTAGTAATAATCGCCGTAGTAATAATAAAAACAAAAATAATACGTAGTACTACGGAGTAATGTTGGAGCCGTATCATTCATAATCCTTGTATTTCCATATTTGCATGTACGCACTTTAGTATAGAATATTGTGTAGGCTAATTCTTAGGAAGATATTTTTATTCTTTCTTTATTCGTTTCTTTCCTTGTATGGCTTTACAGCCTCGTAGCCTAGCATGTACCTATGTATATATATTTGTAAACTCATTCTGGGAAACACACGAATAAAACAAAATTCCATACAGTAGCTCGGTTCTCTTTTGACATGGTATCAGAGCAGTGACACGATCCTGCCAGCAAACCTCTCGACATCTCCACGAACTTCTCCTACTTTCTGCCATGACAACCCCCGAAACTGAAACCGCCCACTCAAACCCAGATTTGAGGAATGAGTCGGTCCGACGCAAAATTAACGACCCTTCATCCCCTTATTTTTTACATCCTAGTGATTCTCCGGGTGTCAACATATGTGGCATGACACTTCGAGGGGAATCAAATTATAGGGAATGGAGGACTTCCATGACAAATGCTTTCCGGGCAAAAAGGAAGGCCGGATTTCTGGACGGAACTATCCAACGCCCCACAACACGGGCGGAAGATATCGAGGACTGGATCAGTGTGAATTCAATGCTCGTAGGCTGGATAATGACTTCTATTGAGCCCAGTTTGCGAACAAATATCACGTACATGGATGACGCGTGCGATTTGTGGAAGGACTTGAAAGAACGATTCGAGGTGAGTGACCCTATTCGGGTGCATGAGATCAAGGAGGCACTGCAGGCTTGCAAGCAGCATGGTGACTCGGTGACAACGTATTTCGGACGCTTAAAGGGTTTGTGGGATGATTACGAACCCTACCGGAATGTGCCGCGATGTGTGTGCAAAGGATGCACATGTAATCTGGAGAAACAGTTTCTCGCCAAAGTTGAAACTGAAAAATCTCATGATTTTTTACTTGGACTTGATGCAGCAAGTTTCAAGGGTCTCCGGTCCAATATTCTTAGCGCGGACGAACTGCCTCCTCTCACTAAGCTCTACCAGATGGTTATACAGGAGGAGAGACATAAAAATCTCACCCATGAACGAACTGAAGCTATGGCCCTTGCTGCCCAAATGCCTCTGCCACGCTCAATTCGTGACAAACTGGTCTGCACTTTTTGTAAAAAGAAAGGGCACACAGTGGACAATTGTTTTAAGAAAACAGGTAATTATCCGGAGTGGTGGGTGAATAATCCTGGACGGGGAAGAGGACGTGATGGAGATGGAAGTGGCCGCCGCGCCGACAAAGCAGCGGCACATGCAGTAGGGACAGTTGCCGACGTGATTCCGGAGGTGCAAGGAATAGCTCCTGGTTCGCAGCATGGACCTATGATCAGTAACGAACAGTGGACCCAATTCCTCAACATGTTGAATAATTGTAAGGTGACTAATACCACAGAAAAATTATCAGGTATGGATCCCGGTATTGAATGGCTTTTGGATTCAGGTGCCTCCTACCATATGACAGGCAATTCTAAATTAATTTTAGACAAAAGGGATATTACCAGGACTCCAGTGACACTTCCCAACGGGCAGTACACACATGCCACTCATATTGGGCGTGTGTACATCAATAGGAACTTAATTTTAAATAAAGTTCTTTTTGTACCGGGTCTTACGTGTAATTTGATTTCGGTGGCACGTCTGGTTGATGATTTGAATTGCGATGTAACATTTACTAATAAGTTATGTGTAATACAGGGCCTACCTATGAGGACGCCGATTGGAGTGGGTGAACGGCGTGGGGGTGTCTATTTTTTCCGAGGGATGGATCCAAGTCTTAAGTGTCTTGCTGCGGTAGTGGAGACTCCAGAGCTGTGGCATTGCCGATTGGGTCATCCTTCACACGGTGTGATGAAGTCGATTGGTAGTTTAAATATTTCATATGAAAATAAAGTTTGTGATGCATGTATGCGTGGCAAACAAACAAGAGAAGTGTTTTCAATAAATTATGCACGTGCTTTTGCGGTTTTTGAAATGATTCATTGTGACGTGTGGGGCCCATATAGATCACCGGCATCATGTGGGTCACGATATTTTCTTACAGTAGTTGATGATTATTCCCGTGCTGTTTGGATTTATCTAATGCGTGAGAAAAATGAAGTTGGGGGGATTCTGAAAAACTTCTTGGCCATGGCTAAACTCCAATTTAATAAGGATGTTAAAATAATTCAGACCGACAACGGAACAGAATTTCAATGCATGAAAAATTATTTTCTTGGTCTGGGAATTATTTTTCAAACTTCATGCGTCGACACTCCCCAACAAAATGGGCGTGTGGAGCGCAAGCACAGGCATATTCTAAATGTGGCAAGGAGCCTCCGTTTTCACGCACATCTTCCTATCAAATTTTGGGGCGAATGTATTTTGACAGCGGGTTATTTGATTAATCGGCTACCTTCTAAAATTCTCCATGGAAAAACACCCTATGAGTTACTTTTTGGCAAAACCCCTCTCTATAATCAGCTTCGGGTTTTTGGATGTCTGTGTTATGCAAGAAATATTAATCGGTCTCGCGATAAATTCGAGTCGCGAAGCCGGAAGTGCGTTTTCTTGGGGTATGCTTACTCCCAAAAGGGATGGAAGGTTTATGATCTGGAAAATCAACAACACTTTGTTTCTCGAGATGTGCAATTCTTTGAAAATCATTTTCCTTTTGCGCGTCAAGAGCACACGCCCCAGTTTGCGAGTAATGATTTTGAACAACTTCCTGCCATGCCAATTCAATTTTACGTAGAGGATACTATTGATATGCCTGCTACACTGGACACGTCACAACCGATTTTGAATACTCCCACTATAGGCAACGACCAGCAAGAAAATTCTTCTTCTGACACCTGTGCACCACTCCATGGTAACGTGGGGGAGTCTTCTTCCACCCAGAATAATGAGTCACAACCTGAGGAGCCTGGTACTCAAGCTTCTGTTCCCACACCTCCAGCCGACTTACTCCCTCGACACCAGCGAACACGGGCCCCACCCAAATGGCATTCGGACTATATACGTCTCAACTCGGTTAAAATAGACACACCCCCTGCTGCGCACTCCTCCACGCCGGCCTCAGGTACTCCTTATTCCTTAACTAATTATGTAAATTATAGTCGTTTTTCTGTATCACATCGGGCGTTTCTTGCGGCTATTTCTTCTGAGGTTGAACCTCGTAGTTATCAAGAGGCTGTTCGGGACCCGAAATGGAGGTTGGCCATGCAACAGGAAATTGACGCTCTTGAACGGAATGGGACATGGTCTATTCAACAGGTACCTCCCGGAAAGAAACCTATATTTTGTAAATGGGTTTATAAAATTAAGTACAAAAGTGACGGGTCCGTGGACCGTTACAAAGCCCGTCTGGTTGTTTGTGGTAACCGACAAATCGAGGGAATTGACTATCATGACACGTTTGCTCCGGTTGCCAAAATGGTTACCGTCCGTACTATTTTAGCTGTTGCCGCCATCCAAAATTGGGAATTACACCAAATGGACGTTGACAATGCTTTCTTGCATGGGGATCTTCGTGAAGAGGTGTACATGCATTTTCCGCCCGGTTTTCATACATCTTCCCCGGGCCAGGCTTGCCGCTTGCAACGGTCCTTATATGGTTTGCGTCAAGCTCCCCGTTGTTGGTTTTCAAAGTTGACTGCCGCTCTTCATAAATATGGATTTTCTCAATCTTATGCTGATTACTCTCTGTTCACCCTTCGCCGGCCTAATCAAATTCTTTGTGTCCTTATTTATGTTGATGACATGCTCATCACCGGTAATAGCTCTTCCTTGATCAGTGATTTCAAGGCTTATCTCGCTCAGTCATTCCCGGTCAAAGATCTTGGTCATATGAAGTATTTCTTGGGGCTTGAAGTGGCACGCAATTCTTCTGGGATTTTTTTGTGCCAACGTAAGTATCTACTTGACATGCTTGCTGAGACTGGGCTGGGGGGCGCCAAACCGGCCGAGTTTCCTATGCCACAAAATCATCGTTTGCAGCTTGATGCTACACCGCTCCTTTCTACTCCTGATCAGTACAGAAGGCTGGTTGGGAAACTTATTTACCTTACCCTCACCCGTCCGGATATCTCTTACTCCGTTCATATCTTGACACAATTTATGCAGCACCCACGCGTTGGTCACTGGGAGGCGGCTATTCGGGTACTTCGCTATCTCAAAGGTCATCCCGGTCAAGGCATTCTTCTCCGCAGTGATTCATCTCTCTCTCTCACCGGTTATTGTGATTCTGACTGGGCCAGCTGCCCTCTTACTCGGCGGTCGCTCTCGGGTTATTTTGTGTCACTTGGGTCATCCCCGATTTCTTGGCGCACTAAGAAGCAAGTAACAGTCTCTCGATCCTCGGCTGAGGCCGAATACCGGTCTATGGCCTCTCTCACATGTGAACTTGTTTGGCTCAAGAGTCTTCTTTCCTCACTCGGCGTCACTCATGCGGCCCCTATCCGCCTACTCTGTGACAATCAGGCGGCTCTCCACATTGCCTCTAATCCGGTGTTTCATGAACGGACCAAACATATAGAAATAGATTGTCACTTCATTCGCGATCATGTTCAGCGGCACACCATTTGTCTCTTTCACAAACCCACGACTGAACAATTGGCGGATATTTTTACCAAAGCACTTGGCGCCGAGCAATTTCATTATTTACTGTCCAAGATGGGCGTTTTTGACCCCCACGCTCCATCTTGAGGGGGGGTGTTGGAGCCGTATCATTCATAATCCTTGTATTTCCATATTTGCATGTACGCACTTTAGTATAGAATATTGTGTAGGCTAATTCTTAGGAAGATATTTTTATTCTTTCTTTATTCGTTTCTTTCCTTGTATGGCTTTACAGCCTCGTAGCCTAGCATGTACCTATGTATATATATTTGTAAACTCATTCTGGGAAACACACGAATAAAACAAAATTCCATACAGTAGCTCGGTTCTCTTTTGACAAGTAATATTCCTTAGGTCCGTAATAATGAGTACTAGGATCGTACAATGATGAGTTGAGGGGACTTTCCAGGAAACTCACTTTCCCCACTATGTATGATTCATCAATGGCGTCCCCAATATGAGTCATCAATCGGTGTCATCTTCCACCCACACAAACACTTCAATGCTTCGTCTTAAAGCAAAATTAGACATGAGAGTCCATTTTCATGTTCAGTGTGTTCCGACGAGTCACTCTATGTTCCGGTGTGTTTCCAAGTCCTGGCTCCAGAAGTCTTCAAATTTGAATAGTTTTATTCGATACTCCGTACGTATAACTTGTTAGCAGATATAATTAGGTCCATTATCTTTTGCTAATCTTATGGACGTTTAGGTCCATAAGGATGTTGAAAGGGACGTGTTAGAAAACGGTTCCGCAGCGGTGCTCCCATAACTACAACACCTGGAATATTGATAGATCCCGCAAATGAGATGATTTCTTTGGAGGTAGCTGGACAAGTATCTTCTCCCTTTCCGGTGGATGATAAAAACGGGATGCTTCATTTGGAGGTGGCTGGCCAAACCTTTTCTCCCTTTCCAGTGGATGGTACTATTGGGATGCTTCCTTTGGAGGTGGCTGATAAAACCGGGACGCTTGAATAATTTGTAGCTTTTATTTAAGGAATTCTTTTTTAGTTACCCCTCATTAGAGGAGCAAGTTCAACACTAGTGTTAGATTAGTCTACATAGTTGAGGGATTAACGAATATGATTAGTGGGACTGATCGATCCCAGTGTACCTTTGAGCTGTAGTAGTGTTTTTTTTAACGGAGTAGTGCTTTACTTCTTATTAATAAATAATTCTTTCAAAAAAGCCCTTCGTCCCAAAAAACATTGTCATTTCAAAAAATTTGAACCTTAATTTTTATTAGTATAATATTATGGAAGTTAGAAATTTTATACTTTTATGAAAGTACTTTTAACAAAGAACATTTTCATATACTTTTTATGTTATAAATAATTTTCAATAAAAGATATAGTCAGCCAAAGTTTTGAAAATGACAAAGTTTTTTGGGACCGAGGTAGTATTAGAATAAAACCTTATCACTTTTTATGATTACATTAATAATGCATAACCTTTGAAGTGTCCATGTGGTGTGTCCGTCCAATGCATTAGTTCTAAAGTCTAGCAAATATATATGGAGTGTGTGGTTAAGTATGTTTTCTGTTGGATCGTAATTTACTGATTTGATGTGGTCTGGTTTTTTTAAGGGAGTGTTTGCAAAAAATTAAAAAAAGCTCTTTCAGCCTTTGACTTTAAAAAGTTGAAATGAGTGTGTTCAAGTGACATCTTCTGCTTAAAGTAATCACTTAAAAGCTAAAAGCTGGAAGCAGATTCAGGGGAACTGCTTTTCACTTTTTCTATTACACAAAAACATTTATTTTATCAAACACTGCCAACTTTTACTTTTTCAGAATCACTTTTTTTCTCAAACACTTCCAATTTTTACTATTAAACACATTTTCCAAAATTACTTTAAAAATCACTTTTTTAAAGTAGAAGCAATCACAAACACTGGTCAAGTCTGGTCTAGTCTGAACTGATCTAATCTAATCTTATCTCTATGTATTTTATAATTATCCAAGTTTAATTTGATTTGTTTAAGTCTCATCTGAGACTAAAAACAGTTCAAAAGAAAACATCCTAACTTCATAAGTAGTTCTAACTTCATAAGTTCATATCATCGTACATGGTACATATGGTACCATATGTGATGTAACACAATATGCCTATCCACCAAATCCTACATCCTCAAATGGGCTTCAGACAACTTTTAGGTCGGTCCATCAAGAATATGAAATTCTTTACAAATCCCACCTTTGGATTGGGCCGTTGAGGCTAAACCCACAAGATTTATGAGACTTCGCTCATTTTACACATCATTTTCTCAACACCACGCAACCCTCCATAAATTTTCATCAAAATCAATTACTCCGTATTTCTATTTTGCAATGGCTCCCTTTTCTGCAATGACTGTTCTCAATTTTATAAGTCGACTTACCAGTTACCACGCACACATGAATACATGATTGTTCTTATTTTATGTGTGGATAAATATATACGAAGTACATGATATTAAATAGAAAAGTATATTACTTTTCATTTAAAATTATTCACCAATATTGATATTCCGCTCGTGTAATATTCTGTTCGTGTGACACACAAACTTGAAAGTTGTTTAATTTATGTGAGAGGAGAAAACACTTCTAGCTGTACTACTTTTAATTGTAAAATAGCAGTCCAACTGTTCAAGTGTCTTCCATGTGCATACATGGTCACTATTATCTACCACGAATACTAATAAGAAATTGAGTCAATGTAATATTATTGGGTATATACGTATATTGAAATATTAAAAAAATGCAACTTTAATGAAAAATATACTTCGTGAAAAATAATATATCCAATATCCCAACCTAATTAAATTGATCGATCAATCATGGGGGTGGGCAATTATAGACTCTAATCAGTACGCAATCACACAAGGAATATTAATGTGGCGGTTTAGGGATAATATTGTTTAAATATTGATGGATAGAATGTGATAGCCACATTCATTAACTTCAGCTATCATATATCTGGCCGGTCCTATACATTTTTGTATAAGTGTGTATCCCCTTGACTAGAATCCACGTAACAATTGATGAATGAATGCGTTTAAATTTTGTTTTCTTGTAGGGATACTATTCATCGTACTACATTAATCATAAAACCCATACTTTAATTGATGGGATTCCACAGACCATGCATGATTTGATCTTGAAAGTTAAGCGCATTCATATTATCATAATTAAGTAGTGGAGATAAATAAGATATTAGCTTAAATTAGACGAAGTCTAAACCCCTTAATATAGTATACCAAAAATATCTCAAAAAGAATGAATTGGACACTAATGGTTTGGGCAAATTTATATACTTCGTATTTGATACTATAATCATATTTTATTTATCAGTTTGGATATATATGAGGAGGAGAAAGACTTTAAAGGTTAGTCCTAGGAGAAACAAGGAAGGAAATTTTTACTTTTGTTTGGGAGTTTGTAAATATAAAGATGAGATTATGAGGGAATTATAATTAAAATTACTTCAAAGATATGACAATTTTAAAATGTTGAATATACCATCATTTAAGATCTCTCAATTTGGAGGAATTTAAAAGTTGAGTTGATAATAATATTTGAAGACTGATTAAAAGTTACATATGTGATTAAAAGTTGGCTGATAATGATGATAAGTCTAAAAACAAATCAAACGGGCTTTAAATGTCATCAGTCCAAAAAAAACGTGGACACAATACAAAAAAGTTGTGGAAATAACCAGTATAAGCCCAAAAACACATGAGATGGGCTTTAAATGTCTGGACAAAAACGTCGACCCAATACAAATTCTCTCTTCGGTTATTCTTGAGAAACAGGCCCATTTGTAAAAATGGGATGCCTGGATAAAAAATGGAGCCATTAAAGAGTAGCTTGTAGAGCCGACCCCGAAGTGAGACAGAGGAGCAGCAGTAACCATTAAAGATCTTTAAGTAAGTTTTTTTGGTTCACTTCATTTAAGCGAAAATAATTAACTCTGCTACTATACCAGCAGACTACATTGGGCAATTAATTTTTTTTTTGACAAACATTGGGCAATTAAATAGAGAGAAATGGATTAATAAGATATTTGGAACTTAGGTTAAATTACCTGATTGGTTAGAATTAGTTATTGTAATGTGGTTTGGTCGGGTTTAATTACATGACTCGAATTGAATCTTCAAATGTTGGGAATCAATTGGAGGTTCTGCTGTTGTAATTATTACTGTTAAGAATTCTTAATTTCGCCTGTTTTAGATGCACACTGATCAGAAGAAATGTCGAGAGTTAGCTGGGTCGTCCTCTTTTTACCGGAAGATATATTCAGAAGTAAGTGGAATAAGTGATAATGAGTTAGATAGTTATGCTTTTATACAAGAAATGAGCTGAGTAAAATGTGTACAGGTAGAAGAAATAGGGTGGGGAAATCTTGTTAGATTGGGAGAAGATTTGACATCTCTTAGTTTCCGTATAATGTAAGTATTTAACCCCTCTTGCTTCTACCAGTAATAAATCAGTAGATTGTAACTTGGAAAAATGGAAAGAACCCTGAAGTTACTTTGTTGTTATTGTAGAGACAAGAAGGGAAGAACACATATGATGGGGATAGAACTCGATAAAGCCTACCCTAAATCTCCCCCCTCAGTATTAGTGGTTGGTTTGTTGTAATCTTGTGATTTCTTGTAATTTAATCAAAACAGTAATCATAATCTAATTTCTCAGGATGTGCCTTGCGTCTTCAATTTGCAATGGTCCGTAAACTCCAAGCTAAATGATGTTCTGGATCAGTTTAGACAGGTATATTTTGCTGTGTTAGTAGGGCATGCTTGGATCCTTAAATACAATGGAAAGGTAAACTTCTTGTTTTCTTTTGTTTGGTTTATCTTGGGAAATGCAAGTGATCATTGAGCCTGTATCCGTTTGGTAACTCATTGTTTTGGTTTATCGGACTTATGAACCTTACTTTTTGCGGAACCCTTTTTTTCCGCGGAGTTGAGATAATCAAAATAAGTGCGGTTAGAGATACTTGTGTGACTCAATTTGCTAAAGTGGATAGTTTTAGTTTCTTTTCATATAACTTTTTCATAATTTTATTCATAAAGTATGTCTTCAGTATAATAATTTTCTAATTTCGTCAATTCAGCTACCAATTTCAATACATTCAACCAATTAGTGTTACTAAATAGCCTCTTTAAATCTCTATCCCTCCCTCAGTTTTCTTTCCTTGTATAATTTTCTTCCTATTTGTTATTCCTAGTATTCCAGGATCCAAACGGACCCTTCAATTTATCTTCCTTTGTTTAGATTGTTATATGCTTTACACAATCTTATCTTGAAATATTTAGTAATCATTTTCTATTAATGAATGCTTTCAGCATCTGGATAAGTTTCAACCCTTTTGGTCTACAGTGGATGAAATTGACAACTCTCTTCAGGTTTCTGGGCCTAAACAAACATCGTTTGCCACATCATATCGCCAAATAGATATAGGTATTACTCCGTATTATTGAAGACAGGGAAGTTTATTATAAAGAATTCACCCACAGGTTTTCTACATCTTACTGAACTCTTTGCTTCTTCTGTAGGCAATGGTTGTTATCTCATCTTGTTTATTGATCCAAATGACCCAAATGCCTTGCCAGAGTAGGATTTTATAAACAATATTCTTTAATGCTTTTGTTCAGTGCAAATTATAAGTGGAATTATATTTACTGGTAGGTGCCGCTTTATTGGTCCAAACTCTGAGGTCAATGTACTAGTAGCATCATGGAGGACAAATTGCCAAAGATGGTTACGTTGCACCTATTTGTTTATTGTATGTTATGCATATTTTGTACTCCCTCCATGTATGAGAAAAGAGTTTTGTTTTGTCAAGGTGCACTTTTAAATATAGGAAAGGTGCAATTGTTGAGAATCATGGATCCCACTTGAACTTTATCACAATCTTTTATTTTGGTTTGGGTAAATTGATCATATTCAGTTTGTCATTAACTTTTTCTTTGTAAGTTATATCCAAAACTAGCGTTGTTAGCAGATTTTTTTCATGGGTTTCATGGGACAGAGGGAGTATAAATTTGATTGATAATACTTGAAGTATTTCAATAAGACCCTTGTATTGTAATTTGAACTTTGAATAGGACTACAGACAAACCATTTGTTGAGAATCTCAAGAGTTTACTGAAGATCCAATTACCCGGACATTCCCATGAGCAGAAGAGTGATGAGCTGCCTGAATGCGGGATTTGTTATTCACAGTATCTCCCAGTTGGTAATTCTTACATTCTTTGTGGTTATTAACTTTGTATCATATCAATCTATTATCGAGTGAGTGTTCAATGTAGATGACGAGCTTGGAAGTGATAGTGGAAGTGGCACAGATTATAAATGTCAAAATAACAGCTGCCGGAAGGCCTTCCACAGTATTTGCCTTTTAGATTGGCTTCGTTCCATCACAACAACGAAACAGTATGTTATCCTGCTTCTATGTTTCTTTATTCTACAATGGTGAGCATAATTGCATCCTGGGGTGGGGGTCAGTTATGAATTGAGAATTATGGAATATGATACCTTTGGTGAAGATCTGATAGACTACCCTCAAAGGAATAGTCATTTTTTTGTGCTACAATTACATAGATCATAGATAGATTGGTTAGGAAAAATGTTTGTGTCGATTTTGCATGCTATTTAGAGCTCGTTTGGTAGTCTGGTTCAGCCTGTTTGATTGTCAACAGAATAGTCAGAATAGATAGGTTATGACTTGCTCCTTATTTGACTGGAATGGATGTTACCAAACGCTTTTAGCTCTAGAAGTTTTAGCAAGTTGAGCCATTTAAGAGAAGTAATCCATACCAAATGACTAACAAAGTCACCATCTCATTGTCCACCATCTTATCTGTTCATCAAGGTATCAAATAGACTATTTTCTTTCCTTTGGACTTGTAGTATCATTACTTCAGGATTTGGTTCAAACCTTTTTCTTTCTTCTATTAGAATTGTCAAACAATAAAACACGCCGTCCAAATCCGTCTTTTCTAACACAGTACATGATAATTAATTGCATTTCATGTTTCATTTTGCAGGTCATATGATGTTTTGTATGGTAGTTGCCCCTACTGCTCTGATCCTGTTCGAGTCAAAATCAACTCCGCCAGCAAGTAAAACAGTGCAATGTCGTTTAGTATTGCTCATTGATAATCCGTTTCCCAACATTAGAAATTTCATTAGGTTGACCGCATATTATTGTAACCACCGGTAAAAGTTAAAGTTAAATCGTCTCTTAGAGAATTAATTCAATTTAAAAGTTAAAATTAAATCCTCTCTATTTCAATGTAGACAATGTAAATTGTTTTGAAAATCTAAATTCCTAAATAAAACTTAATAAAACTGTGGAACTTTCTTAATAAAGTACTCCCTCCGTCCCTTAGAACTTGGTTAAGTTTGACTGACACAAAGAATAATAAAATAAAAATTGTGTGATACATATTTGTGTAGAGGAGAGGAAATGAATAGGACCCACATAGTTAGTGGGACAACAAAAAAAAGTTGGTAAAATTTTGAGAGACAGAAGTAGTACAATAGGATTATTACATGAGATTATTAACTATTATTGTTTTTTCCGCAGAAAGCTTTTTTTCTAAAATAAATAGGTTTTACAGACATATATTTCAATTTTTGGAGGCGTTTGCTATCAACCCAAAAATTAACAACACCACTTAGACCAAACCATTTTATTTTCAGCGCATTTGAATTTTGAAATATTTTGGAGACCTCTCTAGCTCACCGCCATTGGACTCATTGCATTCTCAAATCCTCAATTGCAGTTTTCTCTGTGGATGTTTATCTTTTCGTCTATGTCATGCTCCTCAATCCTCATAAATCTATAGTGTTTAAACTTAGCATCTACAGCAATGAGGTTTGTACCGATAATAGTTGCAGGCAATGAGGTTTGTACCGATAATAGTTGCAGTACGCATTACAATTAATGACGATATTTTTCAATAATGACGGTAATAACTCCTATTCCCGTAAGAAAAACATATTAGTCATATTTTGAAATTTTGAAACCTGTTTACTCCAATTTAGAGCAATTTCGGCCTTTTTTTTTTATCAATATTACTCCTAGTATACGGGTTCCCAGTAAACTGAGTAGGTTTAAAAAATTCCGGATGTATGACTCAAAGCAGTTACAGGGGACCGGAAATTAAAAGTAGGCTTTCAATATAATATAAATCTGTTAGGCAGTTTTAAGTAAAGAATATATATAATTGATGATAAATCACTAATTCGGTAACCGACGTCCTCAAATTTAGGAAGTACTCCGGATATGTAAGTCGTGACTGACGCATATAAGTTTCTTGACCTGGGATTCTAGCCAATTCAAGCACTGTTTGATCAACCGGGAAAAAAAATCTGCAATTTTTCCATTCTTGTCAATGACTGCACATGAAGGCCAATTTTGTCCAAGGAAGGCATCATTGAGTTTTTAAGATTTGTTTTTTCTTTTACTTTGAGAGACCAAAATTTTGGAGATAAATAATGTTAGCCACAACAATGTTAGCAATAGCAGTGATACGGTTGTTCTGCAAACAATTTTTTATGTGTTAGTGAAAATGAATAAATTATTTTGGCCAATTTTGGTGGTCATCAATTTTGAAAATGAATTGATGACCACCAATTCACTAATTACTTGCTTAGTAAATAAGAAAGTCTCACTAACTTACTTTTATTTTGTATGTATTCATGATATTAGGTTAGTAGTTGTGTTGTGTTGATGAAATCTCATTAATTAATTTTTTCATAATTTCAGTGACCAAGACCACATTAGTAATTAAGTAGTTGTGTTTTTAGTGACACAGATGTGTTGTTAAGTTTCACTGACCAATATGTAACTCCGTTTTAACTAGTAGTTTAGTGATGGGGCAGTTAGAGTACCGCCAGTGACTCCGTTATAGTGACCTACGGCCAGTGACTCCGTTGTAGTGACCTACCGCCAGTGACTCCATTGTAGTGACCTACCGCCAGTGACTAATCGCATCCCAACTGTGACTGCCCCGGCCACCCGCGCGCGCCTCCATTCTGCCATGCCGGCCAATTTAAAACCTTAGCCATAACCCCCATTCCCACCATCGTTCACCATCGGGCGTCAATCGCCAATAGAAAAGGGAAGAAGAAGAAGAAGAGCAACGGCGATGGCGCTTGAGTGATGAGTCGGCGGCGGACACCGAGTAAGAGATGAAATTGTGGGTGCCGATGAGTGAGAGATCGATGTAGCAGTGGCGGCCGCCGATTGAGATCGAGATAAAGCAGTGGTGGAGGCAATGGCCGGTGGGTGAAAGTTGAGGCTGCGGCGGAATAGAGCGAAAGCGAAGAGCGGATTGTAATTTGGATACTTGGAGATGACTTTAGTCGTTTAGGGTATATAAATATACTCCGTATTAGATTCTTGGAGATCGAGTTGAAGATGGATTCAGCCGTTTAGCATATTAGGAGTAATTAACTAATTAAGAGCATTTATTAAAATGAGTCACTTTATTTGTTGGGAAATGTAAAAGATGTCATATTTTTAGAAATGAAAACTCTAGGTGCAATTGTTTCAACAAGTTTTTCGTTTGATGGAAAATACTACGTAATATATTTTGGTGAAAATGTCCCTTGTATAAAAAATTACTACTTATTGGATATGATTTTAAAGTTAGTAAAGCTACAACAATAACAATGATCAAACGACAAAATAAAAACATTTGTATCATAATCATCATTATTATGATCTGACTATTATTCACTCTTAATTAGTTTCCCTGAAAGATCTGATCATGGTATTAACATACAAGCCAATACCAACTATCATTAGAGCTACGAGTGTCACATTACAGAGTGTTTTAGTAGATCTCAGCATCAGCTTTGTTGCCACACTAATTCCACTTTTTATCTCCTCCTCCTCTTCATCCTCCTCTTCCTCCTCATTCCCGGCGGCAGTAGTTGGTTGTATGATGTAGAGAATGTCAAATCCAAGCTTTGCTTTAATATTCTTAGTGTCACAATCTAATGGAAGCGTGAACACTTTTTGTAAGCTGATCCATTTCTTGTTATTGTGAGGATCGACTTGGATCCTCATGTTTCCTTTTTGGGTCAATTGAAGCTTTATATGTTCCTTATTCAATCCTGCAAGCATGCAATTATTATATCATGCTACAGTAGAAGGTGATGTGTACACACGTATAAATAATGTACAATAATATGAATAGTTTATGTTTAGTATGTGAGAGATTACATTGTAATTGATATTATGAATGTTGTAAAAACATATGATTAATTTGAAAGCGTAATATTGTTTATTGAGACAAAATTAAATTTATGTGTTTTGTGTAAATAATTTACAAGTAATACTTCCTCCGTCCCAATTTGTTTTGCAAAGTCAACGTTTTTGGTTAACCAATAATAAAAGTCAACCCTCCCTATGGATAATTAATTCAATTTTTAATAATTAAAATTTACTTATCAAAAACTACATTAAAATCTCTTCAAAGTTGTAAAATCCAAATTAGAAAATAATTAAAAACTGACATCTTAATTAAGTGAACAAAACGAGACTGTTTGACTAAGAAAAGTCAAATTTGCAACTCTTTTTGGGACGGAGGTAGTATGAATTACATGTAAAAAGTAAGTGCGGCATACTCTTTGGAAGTGAAATATAGTTTAGTGATACAAAAATTATTTGTTTGGTGTAAATAATTTTACAAAGTAATGTAAACTGCGTGTGAAAAATGTGTAAGTGCGATGTATTTGTGTGCAATTGTATTTTTCCTAAATTGCTTGTCATTCCTACCTTTTGTTTAGAGGTATCCCCTTGATATTAGTTATTTAATTGCAATATATTTTGTTTTTGTAAATACATTATTACTTGCAACATTATCTTATTTTGATAAATTTTTCACATGGATATGTATGAGAATTGTACTACAAGTGTTCGAACTAGTGTAGGGAGGACTGCATAGTTTCCTATTACTATGAGAGCCATCAAGGATCGCTCCGAGTTGTTTTTTATTTGTTAAAGTCATGAATAAAGTTACAAAGTCAATTCAAAAAGATAAAGTGTGGTGCATGGTGTTTTCCGACAATATTGTATTAGATTGATGAGATACAATCGGGTGCTAAAACAAAGTTGGAAGTATGATGATAAACATTGAAGACCATGAGTTTCAGACTGAGTTGAAGCAACACTGAGTAAATTAATTTTTCTACTTTTTCGTCTTCTATTTCATATTTTTAATGTTTCTCTATTAATTTTTATACTTTTTATATATTCTCTCCAAATTTTAGAGATTGCTAAAATAGGCGCTAACACATTATTTAAGGAGGAAATAGTTATGGTATGTAATGAATATTCTAGTCAAAGTAAGAAAGATGTTGAAAAAAATATTGAAGACAAGATAAAAAGTACGTAGAAAATGTAAGTAAAATTGAATATTTTAACAGGAAAAACTTACTAAAAGGAGAAAATGTAACAAACTTTTAAACACACCTAAAAAATGAAAGTGTAGCAAACTCTAAAAATATAGGAGTACTACTTTTTTGTTATTCATATTATTTCAGTTTTACATTTCGTGAAAAGACTTTAGTGCAAATAGATAAATATGGAGAGTAATTTCTCTTTATTACTACCCTCGTTCTTTCTTACTACCCTCGTTCTTTCTTACTTGTCAATTTAAGTTTTTGAAGGAGATTGGAAATCAGTAGGGCATAATTAATACGAAGTATTATTAAAGTAGAAAAGTATGAATGAGAAATAGAAATGTAGAAGAGAGGAGAAGAAAATGTTGAAGAAGTGGGACACAATCAATTAATACTATTAAGTTTTTCGTAAAATTTTCATATACATGCCAATAATTATCATAGCACATATGACAATTGTTGATACGACCATTACACTTTCTCAATTCTCATATATACAGATATATATACTTCGTATGCTTTAATCTATCTTTCTCAATTCTCATATATACATACGGTACATGGTTCTTATCAAAACGAAAAATGTTGAATTACCTGGTAAATAAATAATCAGTGTATCAGCATCTGCTCCAGACACATTCTCATATATTGGATTAGAAACATAAATTGGAGGATCCCTTCTTTTTATCATTTCCATTTCCAATCTTTTGCTTTTATTGGCCCTCAACCAGTTCGATCGGTTTAAAGATTTTCTTCACAAGGAATAAAATGACACAACTACAAACATGTATAGTATTTATAGTACATACGATAGTATTAAAACTAATTTCAGGAATAAGGATTAATTGTGATATCAAATAGATCTATCGATAGATATACCTTTTCAATCATGAGAGCTTTCCTTAGCTTCAATCCGGTGTATGCATGCGTAAAAGCTACTTCACGGATCCTTCTACTTAATTTTACACCATAAAGGTAAGGAAAAATTCCCAAGATATGACTAAAACATATTGAATTTCTCAAAATATGAGTAACTATGTTTTTTTCCGGAATATGACTAAAAATCGAAAAAAAAAAGAAAATTTCGTCATATTATAATGTGGAAGGATGAAAATGCCCTTATTTAAAAAAGATGCATTTTGCACTAATTTCAGCCGTGTAAATATATTGCACTTTATGAATGCGTTATAGCACAACATTTATAGCACTTTATGACGGCATTCACTGCACAACATATAATGCACTTCATGCACTTCAGTTATGGTACTTCAGTTTGTCCTTTGTTTAGTTTTAATAATTTTAGTTTTTAAGTTTAATTAAATCCAATGCACTCCATGCGAGAGTTATGACAAAACATTACAAAAATGTTAGCATTTTATAATTTTTTAGATTTGATAATTGCCGTTTATATCAATGTTAATGCTCTACATTATTGTGCTTTTTGTCAAAATCACTTTATATATGGTCATATCATTGCACTTCTTTGTCATAATCATTGCACTTCTTGTGATATTTACGGCATTACATAAAAAATATTCATTGCATATTGTCCTCAATCGTCTTCAACCTAAGGTTCTTCTTCAATCTTGGGTTTGTCTTCAACCTCGACCGTCTTGCTGAAGAATCTGAGTTGTTGGAGCGGCGGTCCGGCCATCACCATTCTTTTGCAACATTAATTATTACCCTAATTTCATTAAATAGAAGAAGAACCCAACAAACCGTAATCTCAAGCGGCAAGAGATCAAGCACTCTGGTTGATGGAGGCACGAGGCAACTGTGCGGCGGGACGGCGACAGCCAGGGCAAGGTCGGCGGTGGTGGCGAGTGCGGGCTGGACGTACGAAGGAGGAGAACACGCGACTGTGCAGTTAGATGGAGGTGATGAGCAGGCGGACGTACGGCAAGGCATCGGCTGGGCGGTGGCGGGGCGACAGAGGTAGGTGGCGGCAAGGCATCGGCTGGGCGGCGGCAGGGCAGCAGCGGCAGGCGGGTGTGCGGGAGTAGTGGGAACGAAGCTAGAGGCCAGGGTTGGAGAAAAAGAGTAGGAGGTTAGGGTTTTATAGATCTAACCTAAGGGGTATATTAGTCCATAAAATTAATTATTTAATTATTAATTACGAAATTAATTAATTAAATATAATTGATTTAAATATTATTTTGGGAAAAAAACTAGTTAGGTCATAGATTGGGAAAGTGGGGAAGTTTTACTCATACAAGGGATAATTATTTCTAAAGGTAACTAAAGCTAGCCCTAATTTTCTTAATTCTTCTAAAGCTTTTGATGAAAGTAATATATATATTCTTACCTTTATATAACAACAAACTAACAAAGCATAACTTTTTCTTTGATGAATGCGTATGTTAAGAATTAATTTGAAGGTCTTAATTAACCCAAGGATCTAGCTTTTTTTATATCTAGCTTATACTCAGTATTGTATATATTTAATAGTTTAGTTATATACTCTGCTTATTTTACTAGACTATGATCCGCAATAGAACTTTAATAATAAGAACGTGTGTAAATGTGAAACTCTTGACCGTCCAAAAACTGACACCCGAGACCGGGTAACGAAGCTCGAAGGGGGAGAATCGGTCCTGGACCGGAACCGGCCGGAAAATTAGTCCTGGACCGGAATCGAAAATCGGTTTCGAACTAGTCCCAAATAGTACCACTAGTAGAGAAATGGGTTTTCCCGGCGGTTTATATATACTTTCAGAGGCGCTAAAAAGCGTCGGAAGTGCTTTTACCGACGCTTGTAAAAGTGCTCCCTTTGCTTGTGTCGCTAGGCTCTCTTACGATGCTAATTGTAGTGTCGGTATAGTACTATAAAAGCGTCGCTAAATCAGAGGCACTTTTCAATAACCTATTAGGGTACATAATTAGCGTCGCAAGATATCTATTATGCCATGGAAGCTATACACCATATTCATTTTTGTAATTAATTCCTGTTACTTTTATAATATGTTATAAAAAATTAAAACAATACTATAGATCGTAATTTTAAACAAACTTTTAAAATATAATTCAAACTCTTGCTTCAACCACATTGAAGTGCCACAATACCATCATAACAAACAATGTTCTTGTAGTGGTTAATTCAAAAATTGAACTTGTATCAAAGTATCTAATACTAGTATTGTATTCCATCAACCCAAATAAACTCTCAATCCCTCCAGCTGTACTTCCAAAATGAAACTTGTACTTCCAAAGCATAATCTGCAAAAATAAAACAAACAAAATAATGAGCAATGCAATGAAATAAAAGATATAAACTTTAAGAACATCAAAAGTATATAAATAAAAAATACTAATAATAAATAATTTCTAAACTAGTAAAATAAAATATTAGAGAACATGCACTAGGTTAAAGGCTCATCAATACATATAAATATGTAATTGCAGCAATACAATTACAACAACAATTACCAATAGTAACAGTAAACCAATACACATAAAAGTGATATAAGGTCCAATGAACAAAAACAGGAAAAGATGCAAATGACAGACAGGTTGCAAACCAGTATACATAAAAGTAACATTAAACCAGCACTTTTCACAACAAAGGACAGAAACAGATCATCAATGCAGTACACATAAAAGTGATATAAGGTCCAATGAACAGAAACAGAACAAGTTGCAAATAACGGTACATGTTACAAATCAGTACACATAAATATAATGTAACATTAGACCAGCACTTTACACAACAAAGGATAGAAACAGATCATCAAAGCATTATGTGATATTAGGTCCAATGAAAAAAAGTGAAAACATAAAAGTGGTTCCAAAACAGAGTGCAAATAATATACAACATATAAAACAATACCAGTTGTGTAAGCTTTGATAGAAGAATCTCAATTGTCACTTAATGTCTGGTAGAAGCAGCATGCCCACCCTATATCAAACGTTTTATGTTATTTATTTACAAGAATTAACAATAAAGTTATAAGATGAAAAGGTTACACTTAATAGTACCTGAAAATATTCTTCTGAATCTGATTCATCTGAATTATCAGAATCAGAATCATCAAAGTCAGAACCACAACGGATTTTCAACTTCCTTTTCAACTTCAAAAATGCCATTCCTTTCTTTTTTATACGCCTCCTCATTCTTTGCATTGAGCTATTCAGCATTTTTATAGTTATTCCTTGTTTTTTGACACGCTTCTTTAATCTTTTCATTGACTCTTTCACTTGGCGAATATAATACAAAGTCGTTGTTTCATCACTTGAGGACATGTTTAAGCCATTACAATATGTTGGACGTGAAGGGTTTGCTAAATCTGATGGCCTCACACCAAGTCCTAAACCACGAACACGACCATATTGATCTTTACCTAAAACCTTGGAAACCGGATCATCATCTAAGCTCACTTCTTGGTCGCCTATTTCGTCTGCGATATTTTTAATTTGACTCTACAAAGCATATCAGATAAAGTGTTAATTATTCAAAACTTTTGATACAGACACCATATACTACTGATTCTAATATGTGATTTGATAGTACTCAATAAGTAATTAAGTACTAGACACAAAAAACTTTTTTGCTATCTGTATACTTATGTTTGGACTCAAGTACTAGGAAAAAAACTAAAATTACACATGACTTTAGCTTAAAGCCCCACAAAGCAGATCTTGAGAAACCATACTAATAGAACATTAGCAAGCAACTCTTACTATTGAGTTCAAAAGTAAGCTTACAAAATTCATGTGAAATGATATAAAGATACATACCGTTATCTCTGCTTCGTTATCATGTTGATGACATTCTAAATAAACTTCAGTTCGTGTTGGGCTCTTGTTCAACCGTTGTTTCTACAAAACAAATTAAATGACTTGTTAACATATATCACTTAAGAAAAAATGTACAATAACTCATAAAGTCCTTTGAATGAGACTTAATACCATCTCTTCACGAACACGAGCATGACTTTTAGTACCAGTCGTAGAGATAGGCTTCACCTTAGCTTTCTTATGAGACTCTTTACTAGATTTGCTTCTCTTCTACAAAAGCATATCATAAAAGTGTTTGTTAAGTACAAAAAGTAAAAAAGTGTTAATAGCCGGATATATTTATAAGCCTTGGTATCTATCAGATCCTATACTTCAAATCTTAAACCAAGTAAAAAATGCAGAATTAATAATATGAAGTCCAACAATAAAAAAAATTAAAGTTCTGACAAAAAAATCAAAAGGCAGAATGAGAATCATACTATTAAGTTATACCTTTCCTTCATCTGACCTCCAAAAATTGACTAGGCTAATCCACTGATTCTTTTCCACATCTTCAGGATAATTATCATGCAGTGTAGTAATATTTTTATCATCGTCATACCACTTTCCTTTCAAGAAGCATTTGTAATCCCTCCATTTATGCCCAATAGATTTCAATATCCATTTCTCAAGTGATTTGGGATAAAGGAACCGATCCTAACAGACAAATGAAAAAAGCACCAGCAACCAGCACATGTAATTTAAAATGTCACTGTAAGCTTTCAAAAGATTTACTAAAAATATTAAGAACTTAAAAGGTTACCTGAACTACTTTTAATATGATCGTTTGGTTGTTCCGGTTACTACCTTTTTTCAAATGATCCCATCTTGTATAACTTAAGGAGCAAAGTTTTCCATTTCTTGCAATTGTCCCACAAAAAGCGCCCAATACCCCTCCTTCATCTCCAATGGGTTGGTTCTCTTTGTTGACGTCAACAACAATGCGATTCCCATCAGACAGATTCCACACTTCAGCTAGAACAGTCTTTCCACGCTTTCGATTACCATGAGAGTTTGTTATCATTTTCAAAAAATTACGATTTCTCACAACCATTATAAGTCAAATAATGTTCAGCTATGCAATTAATTATAATATCCCAAAGGCTTTCAGTTTATACCTAATTAATTCAAGTATAATACCTTACAGGCTATTTATACCAAGTAACATTATTTTGTTTGAATTCTGCAATTATTTTTTAGCATGTTTTGAACCTTGCTGTAACAGAAAACAACATCAAACATGATACATGCATACTTTAACAAAACTATATATAGAGCATGTTTGAGAAGACAATTTTTAAAGTACCTTGTATAGTGTACTCATAGACTCTTCCTTCTGAATTTTCATCTCTAGATCCATTAAAAGTTCTCATATTTGAGCTACTGGAACCAGCTTGAAAATGTTGCTTCTCCCTTGCAGTATCTCCCTCACTAGTAGTCATTCGCAATTTCTTCTTCTTTCGCTTAGCCATATCCCTTAAAACAAATGAGATACTAACGTATGCCGTTAAAAAAAGCATCACACAAATGAATACACAAAAATATACAAAACTGCTTAATTAGAGCAGCAAATGAATACAGAAGTGATAAATAAAGTAAAGGTATTCATCAGAGTGAGACTAGGAAACTGGAAAACATAAAATGTGAGACAATGATAATATATAACCAAAGTCATAACTAAGATTGTTCATTTTGCGAAACTACAATTCCTTCCACATCTTTTCTAACCCAACTATAATTTCCCTCTTCATTAATAAGCAAGTTATTTAGAAAAGTAATATGATATGGTTCAGTTTCCCCATCTTCTCTCATTTCTTCATCACCTAAGTCATACGCATCCTTTGGTAGTTTGGTTTCATCTTTATCACAACAGACCAATCTGGATGAGTAAGGTCTTGTATGTAGAAGACTTGCTCGGCTTGTTATGCTAATATGTATGGCTCGTCTTCTACTCTGTCTCCAGTGTGTGTCATACGAGAAAAATTTACAAGTGTAAATCCATATTCATCTTTCTTCACTCCTCTTCCACTGGTAGCATCTGCCCATTCACATTGAAACAACACAACTGAAGATCCTCCCAAGTATTTTAGTTGTATAATATCAACTAGTCGTCCATAATAAGCGACATCTCCCAGAACTGGATTCATATCCCTTGATTTGGCATAGCATGATGTCTTTGCAATCACAACACCACCACTATTTTGAGTACATTTGTCATACCGCTTGGCTATAAACGTAAAGCCATTTA